TTCCCGGTGTCCGCTGTCTGCGTTCTGACAGTCTTGGCTACCAAGGCAATCATTATCAAAACCACCTGATGCAGGCATAGCGAGGGTCGGCAGACTGAGCGTTCCTTGAGCTCGCCACAATAGAGTTATGGGTTTGAGATCAGCCACTGCTGCTTTTTTTTTTTATTCACTACGTTGTTGCTGGTCCCATACATTGTGCTTTGCCACGTTGCTAGGATACTCGGTCTCTGAGAGAGGCAGTTGCATCAGAGCTGATCTACGGATGGTCGTTGCTGTCCTTTTGTTACAGCAACCACTTGCGTTTGGAGTACAAGTTGTTGTGTAACCAAGGATTGTTGCTGCTGTGCGTGATTGCTAGTCGTTGCTGCTGTCTTTGACTGTGACGGATAATTGCTACCGATATTTGAGTCTGGTACTATTAGGCCAAAGTGATGCTGCTTCCCGTCGAGGGAGCTGGTTGTTATCTTTTGGAGTTACTACGTTTCAAGGGTGCCGTGTTTGGTATCAGGCTGTTGATACTGTTGCTGCGGCGGTGTTAATTACCTTTGGCCGAGTTTCAAGTGTTGCAGCAGGGTTGACTGTGATGGGGCGGACTTTAAAGTCGGAGGCTTTTTACTGTGATTTAGCAATCTGGAACTACGTCAGTTGAGTCACCTACATTGTGCATCCGACTGCAGGCCAAGGAGTCGGTGATTCCTCCATGCACAATGTTGCTTGGAGAAGAGTGGTGACTCTCACGATCCCAGGACATGAAGTGGAAAGTTGTTGTTCACTGTGCCAGCTGTCATGCATTGTTGTGCATTTGTCGGGCTTGTTGTTGTGCATATGTCCTGCACAAATGGCTTTGCCTTGTCGTGAGCACGTTGTGTTTTCACTGTGCTTGGTGTTGTGCTCCGTTGTGTTTTTGCTGCTGTAGTTTGCTGGGCAGCGCTGTGCGTTACTCCAGTGTTCGTTGCCGCAGACACTGTGTTTTGCCGAGTTCTACCGCATTTCACTCGTATTTCAAATAGAGCATTGGGAGGGGAGGGGCTCTATTCAAACGCAACTTTTCTAGGCTGCATAGCGGTTGTTTGGCCGGATTTGGAAGCACACTGACTTGGAGAGGTGGTCAGGCTCCTTAAGGGGGTTACTATTGCAACTTGGAGGTTTATCAAGAGGTCGTCCATCATTTTGGCTGGGGTTTGGCCGTCTCCGTAGTGCTTTTTGGCCACCATTGAGGGGCTCTCAGGATCTGAAGGCACCAACGCCCTCTCCACGCGAGTCAGAGTGACCCCTCTGAAAACTTGAGAGACTAATTTTACCTGTCTCTTCCCTTCTGACTCTCGGTCTAGTCCGACGTTCAGGAGAGGAAGGCGGTAGGTGGGATTGCAACCCACAAGAGCGCAGCAAGGCCCTGTGGGGGGTTAACCCACCGATTGCGGTAGCTCTGCCGAGCCCAGTCAGGACTAGTGGGTCCCGAATAACTTCCCATCACTCAAGAGACAGAATATAGACAAATTGTGCATGATAGAGAAATTTGGAGTGAGGAGGAAAGGGAGAGAAAAAACAAAGGACTAGGCCGCAGGAGGGAGTGATGCCCTGGGGTGAGAACCACATGAGGAAAGAACCAGTGACGGCAAGCAAGTAAGCGCAAGGACAGGGACGCATATAACATAGCATGAGGTCAGGAGGGCCGTTGGAATTCAACAAGACTAAGGCCAAGGGGGCCTTGAACCAGCAAACGCGGCACGACAGCGACGAGAGAATGAGGGAGTCAAGAAATGGACGGCCTCGAAGGCCGTGGGAAGCTAGAGAACAAGGGTCCAACATGGGGGCCACCTACAGGAGCCTCGTGGTGGAGCCCTCGTGACCAAAGGAACAGGCGCGCGCAAGGCGCAAAGAAAGGCAAGGGAGAGGGGTCACCGTGGGGCGGCAAAACGCCCAAGGAACGTGGGACACCTTGGGGAAAGGCACCCGGGACCACATGGGACTGAGTAAAAATAATGGCATACGGGGCAAAATGTGTCGAGGACCACCGGTGGGACTAAGTACCAGGGACCATTGGTGGGACCAAGTGTCGGGGACCGCCGGTGGGACTAAGTGTCAAGGACCATCGATGGGACGAGTGGAGGGGACATATGAAGGTCTCAAGAGGAAACGGTGGCACCGCATGAGGGAAAAATCATTCAGATAAGGTGCACCGTCAAGATCGAGATCTTGACGACCGAGAATATTAGCACCACTAGTGCAAGCACTAGTGGTAGCAAACGGGAAGCCCAAAAGGAAAAGAAAAAGTAAAGAAACTTGAAGAGGGAGGCATGGGAGCAATCCGAAAAATCTCGGACCAGCCTCCCTCAAGAAAATGGAGTCAAAAGAGACCCTATGAGAAAAATAGGCCTCCGGGAGAAAATCGAAGTAAGAGGGGCCACTGTGGGAGGCAAAAAGAGGGAAAAGGGAACTCTCATGGGCATGGAAAGGCCACTATTGCAGTTTGAGATATAACGGACTGCACCTTGGGCATAGGAAGGGCCAAAACTAAGAGGAAGGGGCTAGAAAAGGGCCTTAACGGCCACTTGACACTTGTGTGAGGATTGAGCCCTCATGAAGGGGCCTTGCCATGATGTACATGTTCTGGGCTAAGGCCCCATCAAGCCTTGTGCCCGCCCTAAGTGAAGGCAGGCCAATAAATCAACAAGAGCCCTCTGTGCAAACATTTCACGAAGTGGGGTCCATACAGTTGCATCACGCCAGTTGGTTGGAGTGCACCGAGTCTCGGATCTCTGCAAATGCAGAAATCCCAGGGCCCCTGAGTTAGTTAGGCCCTGGCCACATAAACGTGAGGTCGACAATGCATGTTGGATATAGAGGCCGAAAATGCCAATGGGAAACCGGTCCACTATCTGAATCTGGACGCAGGCCTTGATGAAAGAGGCGCAACTGCATCTCATGGGCCCCAACCGCATTGGGCCTGGGTATAGGTACTGGGGCCCAGTCGCAGGCTCAAGGTCGGCCGCCCACATGCAACACTGGCATATAGGCAGGGAGTGCGAGTGGGCAGGGATCTTGACCAATCCAGGCATTACGGGCACGCTGCGCATTTGCGGGGTGCTGCGCTGTGCAGAGCTGCGCTGGGCTGAGGGAGGCAGGCAAGCGCTAAGCAGTAGGGCGTTGCCTAGGCACAGGGCACTGGCGGCCATAGTCGGGCTGCCTGTGGGCGCAGAGGAGGAAGGGCGAAGGTGGTTCTTCGGAGGTGAAGGGCGCTGTGTGGGTTATCAAGGGAGAGTGTGGGTGCAGAGAGAGACGTAAGGTCGGCATTGGTGTTGACGTCATCACTCGCTGGTCGTCAAGTTGTCTGGTTGCTTTCATGCTGTAGTTGTAGTATTAGGTTGTAGAGTAGATAGGGCGTCCGGCGCCATTCAAGAGAGAGAGCTACATTGGGTTATGCTGTTGGTGTTGCCCGATTGGGCTTGGACATTGACTCACGATTCTGCTGTATCGTTCTCACATGGATGGTTACTCAGTTCCATTGTGCTATCTGCTCTTGCTTTGACTACTCAGACGTCAGTGTGATTTTGCAATTTCGATTTCTGTGCTTCGTCCATATTCATGTTCCTTGCATTTTGGTATCGTAGCTGGTTTGATTCGCCACTTACCTTGGTGCGCTGGTGTTATACAGACTTGGTGCGTTGACGATGCTTTTTCACAGTTGGTTCTTGTAATGTCAGGCCATACTAGGCGCACGACCTGGGTAGAGAGGTGTGCGCCGGAAGGCTAAGACGACATTGATTGTCGTGGTGACAGGCGGAATGTATGATTGGTGATGAGAGCATGCTGATGTGGCATTCGKCTGAGGTGGCACTGCATTKCGTTGTGGGTGGTAYCGAGGCCAAGACCGGTCATCAAATGCACACTCAGCTCAATTGGTGAGAAATCTGTGGTTGGGGGCAGCTATCTCCAGGTACGTTGTTCCCTTACCTTATCTACTCTCTCAATCTCTTCTTACCGCGAGGAAGTGAGTCCAACTTGATTATGGTTGGGGGCTGCTGTCCATTTTGGCACTTTGTTGCGCTGATAGAAGTCCTGCCGGGTGTGCCAGCCCCTAAGAGACGCTTACCAGACAGTCTATAAACATTTCTGGTTGGGGACTCAGTGTTGATTCTGGTTGTGATCGTTGTCCTATCTGCGACGTTAAAGAATTCCTGAGGAGATGGGGGCTCTCCTTAGATCCCTCCTGATCAGCAAGATCACACTGGGCAGTAAGGCTCGTTTCGTACGAGGGTAAATAAGAGTGGATGGGCTGGCTTGCTCGGCAATGACTTGGGCACAGGGGTGGGCCGAMAACACACACGAAGACACCGYTGCTCATTGATGCTMTTCGGTATGTTGGATTGAGGGGAGGGTAGGTTYTAATTGATGCTCAACTGGAAACACAACCATACCCACTGATCATACATCTGCAACATGGTCTTGGTTTATTATTGATTAGTTGGTTGACAGCTGCTAACACCTTACAGACAGAGTAGAGTAGGACTGTTGTATACTACCATAGCCAGTTCTATCTAATGCTGTTGTAAGTGAAACAATCAAGATACACCTAGACTATGTTGACAGTCTATTGTGAATGTTGTAGGCTTCCACTTGATCGGTAAAAGTAGGGGACCTGCCGGACACAATTATTTTTAGAAAATTAGGTGTCGGTCAGACACATGCTGTGGTAGGACTCCACTAGGGGGTTGTAATGCAGATTATGTCTGCCTAACTGATGAACGGGTCAAACACCGATGAGGGTGGAGTTGACGATGCAAGACTGACACGTTCGAGATCACGTAGAATCCCGTGCGTGTTTCAGGCCCTACAACCGGGAGAAGAAGGACGGCTTCGTGCCGAACGCACGAAGAGGCTGTGCTCTAGCAGCAGCAAGAGAGGCAGCAAACGCAGCAGCTAGAGAGGCTGTAGCAGCCAGAGCAGCAGCAATGGCTAACGGCGCAACCTCTGCTGGGTCCTCGTCTAGGACCAATGGGACCCAGTTGGGAATGCCTCAGGGCACTTCCGGTTCAATGAGTTCTGGTCAGTATATCAGTCAAATGGCGGGCTCGCAGTTAAGCCCGTTGACCCCATGCGGTAGGGAGCTCCTAGAGCTCCAACAGGTCGAAAGGATCCGCGAGCGGTTAGAGAGGGAACTAAAGCAGGCAACCGATAGAGAAAGAGAGATCAAAAATAGAACAGCCAGGCTTGATACGTTAGAGGCAGACAAGGCTGCGTTAGAGGGTTTGGATGAGTCAGCAATGCCTGACCAACTTAAGGTATTGAAGAACAATATGTTGTCGTTGCATGCGCACATAGACAGCAGATTGGACTTTATGCAGAACTCTCTAGACCAGATCTTGGATCTTTTGCAAAGGCCAGGATATAGGCCAGCAACACAGTCGTCGTTGCTGTTAATGGTGATGTCAGGCCCCTTTCCTGTACAAGCTGGCACACAACCAAGTGGTACATCTGCAGCAGCCGCACAGACTGTTGCTTCTTCTTCTTCGGGTCCAGCGGTGATAGCTACACAACCACCGCAACAACCTGTTCCTCAACAGGGACAGTCGCAAGGTCAATGGTACCCTAAGACCCCTATGAAACCGCCTTTTGCCTTCTCAGGAGAGAAGAAGGACGAGGAACTCAACACATGGTTGAGAACGGTTCCGGTATGGGTAAAGGCGAAGAGGACTTTGCAGGAGGAGGAGGTGATTACTGCTGTGTCTTACCTTGAGGGTAAGGCAACCAAATGGCTGGATGGTTTAGTTGCAAAGGCCGGGTACGGGCGACGCATGGCGGACTGGGCTAAGACCATTACATTAGACCAGTTCTTAGAGATGGTAGAAGCTCGTTGGCACAATCCTCAGCAGGCACAAATGGTCACTGATGCAATGCACAGACTAGACCAAAGAAAGTTCAAGTCAGTCAGAGAGCTTACGACTACCGTGGAAAGCCTCATCGTCGTTCCCGGCATCAATTACGATAACCAGTTCTTGTTGACCACATTTGTGAGATGTCTCCCAGAGAACCTCAGGAATTTGCTGGCCAGCGAGGCTCGCCTCGAGTATCACTCGTTTGAGACGTTATCTAGAAAAGCCTTAGATTTAGAAGCCATTCTAGGAAATGCTCAACCTTCTCAGAATGACGGGAGGAAGAAGAAGAGTCCACAGGAATGGAAGAAGAAGGGGGCTAAATTGATGATGGTTGAGTCCGATGGGACTCGAACAGAGATCGACGAGCTCACCGACCTGTTGGATGTTTCGGAGTACGACGGCGAGGAGATCGCTGAGGGTAGTACCCTCTCCGCAGTAGTTAAGGCTAAGGTTGGTGGCCGAGTGAAGGGCCATCAAAAGAGTCAAGGGAAGGCCGCCTCCAATCAGACCAAAGTTGTTGATTGGGTCAAGGCAGGTCTTGATAAAGAAGTGTGGCGAGACCGTCGAGTGCGTGGTGCTTGTATTAACTGTGGTGAATACGGACACACCCAGTACAAGTGCTAGAACGCAAAGGTCACGCCGAAGATACCTCCTAAGATGGGGGCATCTTCTTCCCAGGCTTCTAACTCGGGAAACATTTGAGGCCGGTGGAAGTTTTAGCTGCTTCTACTCATGGTAAAGTGGGTCAGATACCCTCCCCACTTCATGAGATGGCCATAGCCAATGACTCTTTAGTCACCCCGCAGACTCATCTAGACCAAACTATGCTCTGTACGTTGGATGTGTCTGAAGCCTTGAAAGATCTGGAAAGTGAGTGGTCAAACAAGGACCCTCGTGAATCTTGGGTGGCACTAAGGAAAGGTCCTAGAGGGGAACATTTCGTGGTGGAAGTTGATGTAGGAGGCCGCAAATGTGGTGCCTTCATAGACATTGGCTCCACGCGGAATTACGTAAGTCGCGAGTGTTTGGAAAGGCTGCACCTACAGGACCGGGTACAGTACCTTAGTAGACTTGTAGCATCTACTTTGGCCAATAAGGAGCGCATGATAGTCACAGACTATATCAAGGATGTAGTATGTACCTTCTCCTATGGAGGAGGGGAACTTAATCATAAGATTTCGTTCCTGGTTAGCAACGACTTGCCATTCGACATGTTGTTAGGCATGTACTACCTTGAGGTTGCCAAGCCCCAGTTTGACTGGGACAAGAAGGTACTAAAACATAAGTTGTCTGATGGCAGAACAATCAGATTGACTAAGTTCAAAGCCAGTAGCATAATAGATACCTATGGCTGCTTGTGTGCATCATCGTTCTATAATTATTACAAACAGAACCAAGAGGAGGGTATGTACCTAGTGTATGTCTCTGAGAAAGGGGAGGCCGTTAAAACACCCCCAGAGATAGAACACGTCGTTGCTAAGTTCCCTGATCTGTTCGTGGAGCCTACAAGAGTCGTGGAAAGGGAGGTTGTCCACGCCATAGAAATCATTCCAGGGAGTAAAACCCCAAAGGGAAGGATCTATAGGATGGCTCTGGTCGAGTTGGATGAACTTCGACAACAACTGAAAGAGCTGACAAAAAAGGGATGGATCCGGCCAAGTTCTTCCCCCTACGGATCTCCAGTGCTATTTGTACCGAAGAAGGGGGGTACATTGAGGATGTGCATTGACTATAGAGGCCTCAATGCCATCACAGTGAAGAACGCAGAGCCTTTACCTCGCATAGACGACCTATTGGATAGGGTGCAGGGATGCAAGCACTATAGCAAGATAGATTTAAAATCCGGCTACCATCAGATCGCAATAAGACCTGAGGATCAGCACAAGACTGCATTTCAGACCACATATGGTCTTTATCAGTTTGTTGTGATGCCCTTTGGCCTTTGTAATTCGCCGGGTACATTCCAACACACCATGAATAGGATCTTCCATGACCACTTAGATAAGTTTGTCGTTGTTTATCTCGACGATATTTTGATCTTTAGTAAGTCTGTCGAGGAGCATGCGCAACATGTTGAGACTGTACTATCTCTCCTACGACAGCACAAGTATAAGGTTAACCTAGAGAAGTGTGAGTTTGGACGCACTAAGATCTTATACTTGGGTCATGAAGTATCCGCGAAAGGTATTAGGCCGGAAGATGCGAAGGTGGCTAGTATTCGAGACTGGCCACGACCTCAAACCGTCACTGAGGTCAGATCGTTCTTAGGAATGTGCGGCTACTATAGAAATTTCGTAAAGAACTATTCCACAGTCGCCTCTCCTTTGACAGATCTAACTCGACTTGACACGCCGTGGGACTGGAGTGATGAGTGCGAGGGTGCTTTCAAACGACAGAAGCATGCACTCATGAATCATGAGGTTCTCATGGTGCCCGATCCTCAGAAGCCATTCATAGTGACCACTGACGCAAGCCAATATGACATTGGCGCAGTGCTGGCTCAACAGGATGGGAAGAAGTTGAGACCGATTGAGTACATGAGCAAGAAAATGCCATCGATGAATTTGGCAAAGTCCACCTATGAAAGGGAACTCTATGCTCTCTATAAGGCACTTGTCCATTGGAGACATTTTCTGTTGGGACGGTTCTTCTACTTGAGAACTGACCATCAGATGCTCAAATGGATCAAGACTTAACTAGATCTTTCTGATGCACTCAAGCGATGGATTGAAGTCATAGATCAGTATGACTTCAAGGTAGAGTATCTGAAGGGAGAGTACAACAAGGTTGCAGATGCGCTATCACGTAGAGTAGACTACCTAGGGGCACTAGTTCCTGACTTTGGTGTATCTGAAGAAGTAACTCAATCGTTGGTGGGAGCCTATCAGGAAGACCCTGTCACGATGGACATCATACGCAAACTTCAGGCAAAAGACAAGGCCACGGAAAATGAGTTTGTGATGGTGGACGGGCTTCTCTATCTTGATAAGGCCGGAGTTAAAAGGTTAGTCGTTCCATCTAGTGAACGTTTGCGTAGTTTATTTCTAGGAGAATGTCATGACGCAACCGGACACTTTGGCTACGAAAAGACGAGTGTCAATCTAGTACAACGATTTTGGTATGTTGAAGCCCTTACCTATCCCCGTTGTTCCAGGACAGAGTGTTTCCATTGATTTCATGGACACCTTGGTGATCAGTAAGAGTGGCAAGAGGCACATCTTCGTCATCATCGATCGATTCACGAAGTACGCTAGACTAGTTGCCATGCCAAAGACCGCAAGGACTGACCACGTCATCAAGTTGTTTATGGACAACTGGGTGCTTGATTTTGGACTTCCAAAGTCAATCGTTAGTGACAGAGATGTCCGATTCACAAGTGAGTTGTGGAAGAAGACTGTTGAGCAGATGGGCAGTCAACTTCAGATGACTTCACGGAATCATCTCGAAGCCAACCGACAGGCCGAGCAAATGAACAGAGTTGTACAGCACTTGCTGAGGCATTACATCAAGCCCAGCCAGGATGATTGGGATGAAAAGTTGCCTCTCATCGCCAACCTGTACAACAATGTTGTACACAACAGTACCGGCGTCAGTCCTAATCAACTGCACTTGGGATGGAAGCCTATATCAGCTCTAGACTTCCTCCTACCTGAAAACCGATCCTCTGCAACTCCAGGCACACTTGAGTATGGTGTGCAGTATGAGAATTTGTTACAGCAAGCTGTCGAGCACATCAAGAAAGCTCAGCAAGCAATGATTGCTTCTGAGAACAAACATCGTCGACAATCCTCATTCAGGTAGGGGAACGTGTTTGGGTCAAGGCTAGAGAGCTAGGACATGAATTCGGTATCTCTAAAAAACTAATGCCTCAGTATTTTGGTCCCTGGGAAGTCCTGGATATAGTGGGGGATGAGATGGATGGTCCCACAAATGTTATCCGTATCCCTGGTCACCTGCGCACTCACCCTGTCTTTTATGCCTCAAAGCTTGCACCTTTTGCTGAGAGAGATCAATTTCCTTCAAGGAGATCGATGCTGCCCCCAACCATGGATGGTAAAGTGGACATCGACGACATTGTGGATCACACAGATCTGCCTGTTCCAAAGCCACTGAGTAGAGGAAGACCTTCAAAATCCAAGCGGGAGTATCGCGTCAGATTCAGGCATCATACAGATTCGAAGGAAGATCGGTGGTTCACCAGAGAGGAACTAATTGACACAGCTCATAATATGAAAGAATGTTAAAAGGGAAGGCACCTCCGAAGTAAGCATCTCATCGGACTTTCGAAGCTAAGGGGGATGGAATGTGAGGATTGAGCCCTCAAGAAGGGGCCTTGCCATGATGTACATGTTCTGGGCTAAGGCCCCAGCAAGCCTTGTGACCGCCCTAAGTGAAGGCGGGCCAGTAAATCAGCAAGAACCCTCTGTGCAAACATTTCACGAAGTGGGGTCCATATAGTTGCAGCACGCCAGTTGGTTGGAGTGCACCGAGTCTCGGATCTCCGCAAATGTAGAAATCCCAGGGCCCCTGAGTTAGTTAGGCCCTGGGCACATAAACGTGAGGCTGACAATGCATGTTGGATATAGAGGTCGAAAATGCCAATGGAAAACCGGTCCACTATCTGAATCTGGATGCAGGCCTTGAAGAAAGAGGCGCAACTGCATCTCATGGGCCCCAACCGCATTGGGCCTGGGTACAGGTACTGGGGCCCAGTCACAGGCTCAAGGGAGGCCGCCCACACGCAACACCGGCATATAGGCAGGGAGTGCGAGTGGGCAGGGATCTTGGTCAATGCAGGCATTGCGGGCACGCTGCGCATTTGCGGGGTGCTGCGCTGTGCAGAGCTGCGATGGGCTGAGGGAGGCAGGCAAGCGCTAAGCGGTAGGGCGCTGCCTGGGCGCAGGGCACTGACGGCCATAGTCGAGCTGCCAGTGGGCGCAGAGGAGGAAGGGCGAAGGTGGTTCTTCGGAGGTGAAGGGCGTTGTTTGGGTTATCAAGGGAGAGTGTGGGTGAAGAGAGAGACGTACCTGGGTAAAGAGGAGGTCGACATTGGTGTTGACGTCATCACTCGCTGGTCGTCAAGTTGTCTGGTTGCTTCCATGTTGTAGTTGTAGTATTAGGATGTAGAGTAGATAGGGCGCCAGGCGTCATTCAAGAGAGAGGGCTACATTGGGTTATGTTGTTGGTGTTGCCCGATTGGGCTTGGACATTGACTCACGATTCTGCTGTATCGTTCTCAAATGGATGGTTACTCGGTTCCATTGTGCTATCTGCTCTTGCTTTGACTACTCAGACTTCAGTGTGATTTTGCAATTTGGATTTATGTGCTTCGTCCATATTCATGTTCCTTGCACTTGACATGCTAGGAAAAAAAAAGAAAAGAAAAGAAAATATGGGAGAATGAGACGAAAAGAGTGAGAGGGAGTGAGTGAGTTGGCCGTCAGTAGGGACTGGCAGGTCCCTACCGTCTAAGAAAGGAGGAAAAAGAAAAGAAAAGAAAAGAGAAAGAGACCTTAACGGTAAAAAATGACCACTTGGGGAGATACATCCATGACCAGATTCATTCGGGAATATGACGGTTACAATGGACCGTGATTTTCTTTGATTTTTGCAGAGAAAATCAAAGGAAATCAAAGCCTCATGCAACCGAAAAATAACGGATTACATGAGGGAGGAGAAAATACATGTTTTTTGTTTATCCAGAGCTAAAATTGAGTCGTGATGCACTTGGGAGTTGGCCGTTTCTTTTTCTTTCAAGTAAGGGATAGTTGTGGGACATTGGGGCTAGGGAATTGACCCCTATTGTAGTCCGAGTGGCAACGGACTGCACGGGGAAGGGAAAACACATGTTTTAGATGCATCCGGAGCCAATATTGAGCCCGATTGCACTTAGAAATTAAACGCTTCATTTTTTGTTAGCATGGGGCAAGTTTTGGGATTGTGGGACTAGGAAAATGACCATGACTGCAGTCCGAGACAATAACGGACTGCATAATGGTGCTTAGGCTAAGGGAAAATGAGCCGCGGCAAGCCCGAAAGACTAGAAAAGAGCAATTTCGGCATGAGGCAAGTGGAGACGGTAAACGGCAACCGTGAGATGAGATCTCACGGCCTAGAAAAATCGGCACACATGTGGCACCTACGGGAGAGACGTTGGGACCACCAAGGGCAAGGAGGTCCGAAAATAAAAATGGGACACCAACTGGGATGTTGTCGGGGACCAAGTGGGCCCAAATAATAAAAGTTGAAAAACGCGACACGCGCCAGCAGGACTACCGGCGGGACAAGAAAATGGAACTAGTATGGAGGAAAGTGGCGGGGACTTGAGAAGTCCCAAGGGAACCATGGGCCAACACAAGAAATAATTGCGTAAGCGAACGGCACCATCGAGATCAAGGATCTAGACGGCGGAAAATATTAGCACCACTAGTGCGGGCAAGTTGGAGAGTCATGAAAGAAAAAAAAATGAAATAATGATGTTGGGAGGGTTGCCCAGCAGTCTGAAATATCTCGGACTAGCTAGGCATAAGAAAATAGAGCCTCAAGAGGCTCAATATGAGAAAAAGGTTGTTCTTAGAAAATCGGAGCAAAAAGGGGCTCAAAATTTGACAAACGGGGGCAAAATTGAGCCCTCTGGAAATATGGGGGTGCCATTGTTGAAATCCAAGATATAACGGCCAAGTGCTAGCCATGAATCTGGCCATGAATGAGGCTCCAAGGCCTAGAAAGAGAGTGCACAACTAGTGGATACTTGTCATAACAAAAATAAAAGAAAAAGAAAGAAAAATGAAAGAAAATTGGGGGAGAATGAGACAAAAAGAGAGAAAAGAGTGGAGGAGAGTGTGCCGGCCTATTAGGACCTGCACAGTAGGGACTGACAGGTCCCAACTGTGAGCTCATCCCTCCTAGAATGAGGGAGGGCTATCCGGATTGCATGCAAGGGTCATATCTCAACAAAATCTTATTTAAAATGAAGAAAATGAGAGAAAATGCGAAAGATAAATGACCGATTTTTTTTTGGACCATGGATCTGAGATCCGATCTCATGGTGGAGAGGAACTAGCCGTTTTTTGTGGGCCAACTCAAAACGGCTAGCTCCGGAATGAGGTTGCAGCCCAAAATGGAAAGAAACAAAAGCGGGAAAGAGACAAAACTGTGCATTTGGTCCAAAAAAAGAGCCAGATGCAAAAAAAATTGAAAAAGTGGACTTAGGGGCTCAAATTTGAAGCAAGGGCTACTTAAGGGTGGCACGGAATATTATTGGTCTTGGATCTCAGCCAGATCCAAGGCCGAAAATGTGCCGCTGCATGGAAAAATATCTCGGCCTACCAAAAATGGGGTACAAACTGAAAAAATCGAGAAAAAGACCCACTAGGCCTTTTTCTCTCAAGTAAAGTTGCCCCTTGGGCATTTGGACCCAAGGGGGCAGCATTTTTGAGGTGAAAAGGAGGCCGAAGGAGGCCAAGAGGCAATCCGAGTTGGTACCAACCACTCGGACTGCATGTACTTGGCCAAAAAGAAGCCCGGGTACCTCCGGAGGGGCCTAGTGGGGGAATTTTGCCTTGGGGGTACCTCGGTTCACCTCAAGGCACATTGGGAGGTCCATGGGCTGGCCGGACTGCTGGTTTCAGCCTACATAAGTTGGGAATTCAGTTCGCCACATTCACAATTGCATGAGGAGTGCCCATGCTGCCCTAGTGAGCTCATAGGAGCATTCTTTCAC